GGATCCTCGTGAGGGGGAGAACAAGCGGCCACGACCACTTGAGCAAACTGCTTTACCTAGCCAAACTCCACAACCCATTCAACCAGAAACCTCTACCAACCAATAGCCACCACCCGCAGCCAAAATCTCTAGCCTGATCGAGCTAGACGCAACATCCCGAGGCGTATCTCCTAGAGATACCAACCGAGGAGGGGATGGAAGTCCTGATGATGCTACCACTGGTACATCTTTTACATCAGGCCATCAGTTAGAACCTAGTTCAAAGCTGATGACAACGGGAAATCCTAGTGAACCCGGTGTTTCGATTAACAGGCCTCCGTCTCCAAAAGGTCAACCTGCCACTACCATTCTGTCGTCAGATGAAATGCATGATCAGCTAGAAGATATCATTATTCACGACAAATGGCCCAGACAGTGGATGGAGATGGATCAAATCATGCAGGATGAAGAGTGTGAAGATATGCAGAGGAACTGGTTCCTACGAGAACTCATCAACAAATGTGCTGAAGATATAATCAGGCTCGAGGACGATGAACGAAAGGAAGGGGAGAACTACAAGGAATCTCAGAAAACACTTGAATCTGTCGTCAGACAATCAGCGGGAAGACTTCCCAAGACAGAGAAACCTTGGGACAACGTTCGAATCAAAGCCCCCTTCCAAGAGGAAATCAGAGAGCGTATTTGGCGTAGACCAGACAAAGTCAAACCGTTGAATGAACTGAAGCTACGAGGCCTTACCCATCTCAAAGGAAAGCAGGCTGGAGGTCATCTACATATGTTGTTGCAAAGGTCAACCGGTACTCAAAGAGAGCTGATGGAACAAGACTTGAAGTCCAATATTCTCCCTATTCATCAAATCCTGCAGGTTAAGGCCGAGGATTATCACGGAGTGACATTCTATTCTTACAGGCTTCAACGCACTGACGGGAGTGAATTTACTTGCCAAGAAAATGATTTCATCATGCTTAAACCAGACGACATCTATCAAATGTTTATGGCTTATCGATAGCTTCCAGTCAGGCAAAGCAAAACATACAGCGAAGGTCTTGCAGCAATCAAGAGATTCATGCTCAGACAAATCAGAGTGCACTCATCACACGACCTACAGATGGCTATTGAGTGCAACTTGACAAAAACAAATCTTACAAAGCCAAGACTATATGGTCCAGAACTCGAAGACTTCCCAGCTTACCACATCTTCTTCACACCGCCAGCAGTCACATATCTCAACCACAAGAACGAAAAACGCGTGATGGTGGTTAATGAAATTGAGAAATATTGTGATGGAACGCTGAAGATAATCAAAGAACAGCTTCTAAAGATGAAGGCACAGCTAGAGCAAAATCTTCAGGAGGCATCGTCATACGTTCAAAAGGAACACTCTACAGTGGAGACCATTTTAAAAGCCATCGACGATCGCCTAGAAAAGAGAAACATGCTAAGGCAATACGAGCATGCACTGAATATGAGGAAGCACTATTTCAAATCACAGAAGCAATAACTAAGTGGCACTTGATCACAAAGGGGGAGATTGTTGAAGATCATTTAATTGTGAATCAAGTTTGTCATCTATTTTGTAATAGATTAGCTTTATTATTATTCCTTGTATTAAATAGGTGCATTGATTAGATAGAATATGGGTCAAGTGTTAGGCCCATACAAACAGGCTAAAAGTCTTTCACGCCTACCTGAACCTCGCCTATAAAAAGGGAGCCGAAGGTTCAGGATTAGGTTAACTTTCGTACTTGTTCATTATAGCCTTAAGCGCAAATCTTTCTGTGTACGAGTTCACGGTCTATCAAAGAGGGTTTTACATCGATTCATCTGTGTTCATCTTTACGTTTAATCTTGTTTGTTAGACTGCTATTCATTGTTGTTACAGAAACAGGGACTATCATTGCAGAATCCAAATTGGAATATAATTAAAATTTGATATTCGAATTAAGTGAATAAAATGAAACTGTTTAACCAAGAAAAATCAATTTTGTAAATCACTTTGGGACGGAGGTAGTATTACACGGTACAAAATAGCGATAATATTCATGGTTATATATCTTATCAGTATTATCACATTGTCGTAATTATTTTCACTTTAATTCTTCTTTTCAATAGTTATTAAATAAGTAATTAATGAGTTAAATCGAAGGGTATGTTAGGTTTTAAATTATAATATCAAAAAGTTGTCTTAAGAGGTGGCATTACCATTTTTTACATTTTTATAGAAAATTGTCAAATAAAAAAGTCATTTACCAAACATCTAAAATTGTTATTTGACACCGTCAAACAACCACACAATCAAAGTTAAGCCAAAAAGCCAAAAATGGCCTATAGGCTACATGTTTACCAAACACCCCTTCTTGCTTTGTGCGGAGTAATAGAATAAATAGGAGTGGACATATTAGTTTGATAATCCAACCGTACCAAAGCGAATTAAACCGAATCGAAACCAGACCATATTCAATTTGGTTTGAGTTTGATAGTATTTCTTCCTAACCATATTAAATCAGACTGAAACCGACAAAACCAAACAAAACCGAACCGAACTAAAGAAATTCAATAAAACCTTCATATATTATTAAAAAATAACAAATTCAAACCAAACCGAACCAAACCGAAAAATAGTATGATTTTTGTTTGGTAATAGTTCTCCCAGCTCGTTCCAAATCGAACCGAACCAAAACCGATAAAATCCGAACCGAAAACCGATATATCTACCCCTAAGAATAAGCACAAGCCTTGTAAACTACTTTTGTATTGACATTAACAATTACATACGGAGTACAAAATAATACTACTAAAATTGAATGACCTATAAATCATTTTGAACCAGAAAACCCTTAGCAACTCCAATTCAGCATGTGGAGTTTATTAAACAAGATATTAATCGACACGAACTAACAAAAAATAATGCTGCGTAATAAAACACTATCATTATCACGACATTATCGAAGTTCAAGTTTGTTTTTAGAGACAACTGTCAAATTAGCCCTCGTAGTATATAAAAAAAGTCAATTAGACCCTCGAACTAAGAAAACACTCAATCAAGTCCACCAACTTTAGAAAAACACCCAATTATATCATTTTCTCATTTGAAGATCCAGTTATCCGATTGTATGTCTGACGTGGCAATCCACTTATTGTTTAATTTCTTTTTCTTTTCCTTCTCCCTCTCTCCTCCTGCGACGTCCTTTTTCCACAATTTTCCTTGTGATGCGTCTTCTTCAATTCATTTCTTCCTTTCCTTTCTTCCCTTCTCTTCTTCCTTCCTTTCTCTAAGCCTGAAATTTCGTCAACCAAGGACGAGCTCGGTGCACCAGAGGTGTAGAATACGAACGGTGAAATTTCGAGCTTGTCAACCAAGGATGGCAGCACGACGGCACCAGAAGTGTGGAATTGCATATGTTCACCGAAATTTTGAACTCTTTGACCAATACACCATCCTTGTCGAAGGAGTAGAAGATGTACGCTGGAATTCCGAGCTTGTCAGCCAAGCCGCCATCGTTGTTAGCTAGGTAGTAGACGTATGTCGGAATTTTGAGCTCACCCGTGCCATCGTTGTCCGCCTTATCGAGTGAATCCTCGTCGTCGCCGATGAAAATCAGAAGTCCAACACCAATGACACCTCAGCAGTAGGGGTGGACTCGGGTCGGGTGGCCCAACCCGGGACCGGCCCGGGACCGGCACTGTTCCGGACCGGCCCGGTCAGTGACCGGTCCGGGCTCGAGTCACCCAAAACAAGGCTCGGCCCGGTTCAGGCCAAATTTATTTTTTTTTTGTTTTTTTCATTTGTTTGGGCTCTACCCGGGTTGGGCTTGATGTTTAGGAGGGTTTGGGGGGGGGGGGGGGGTTGGGGGTGGGGGAAGGGGGGGTCAGGGATAGGTAGGTAAGCAAAAAAACAAAAAAAATAACCAAGCCCGACTGCCCGAGGCCCGGACCTGATGGCTACCCGGGCCGGTCCCGGGTCCACCAATTCAGACCCGCCGGCCCGACCCGAATCCACCCCTACTCAGCAGGAAGGTGAACATCTCCTCCGCCAAAATTGCCCTCTTCAAGTCTTTGCTAGAGACCTAGAGTTCATCATTTGAAGAAGAATGAAAATAATGAAACACGATGGTCAATGGAGTACAAGAAGAAAGAAAAGGTAGCAGCGGTACAGGTGGGAAGTGGGAACTCGGAAGAAGTAGGAGTGGACTCGGGCCGGGTCAACCGGCCCGGAACCGAACCGGCCCGCTACTGTGCGGGCCCGGACTGGCCCGGTGAACCGGTTGGTTGCCCGGTTCGGGCCACCCGGCCCGGTGGGATGGCGGTTCGGGCTCGGGCCCTTCCAAAGGTGAACCGGCCCGGGCCAATTTATTATTACTTTTTTTTTTATTTTTTTTTAAATTTTTGGGTTGGGCTGGGTATTTTGGGCCATTTGAGGTTGTTAGGGTTGGTTTGGGGTGAGGGGGAGGGTTGGGGGTTAACTAGGAAAAGCCAAAAAAAAATTAGAACCGAGGCCCGGCCCGGACTCGGGGGTTACCCGGGCCGGTTCCGGGCCTCCCCTTCATGAACCGAGGCCCGAACCGGAACCGGTCCACCCCTAGGAAGAAGTGAGCAGAGAAAGGAGAGAAAGGAAGAAAAGTTTTCCTCCTGGGGAAAGGAACCAAGAAGATGAAAGGAGAATGGTTCCGAACTCCGAAGGAAAAAAAGAGATGGAAAGAAAAAGGAAAGAAAAGAAGAGAAATGAAAAAAATAAAAATATATTTGGATAGCCACATCAGCTAAATGATCAAGTAACCGGTTATCACATGTAAAATTTTAAATTTGATTGCTTTTTTAAAGTTGATGGGCTTAATTAGGTGTTCTTTTAGTTCGATGACCTAATTGACTATTTTGATATAATACGAGAATCTATTTGACAATTTTGCCTTGTTTTTATTTTAGGGAAAACTAAGCTTATGTATATATGAGTATATGACATTATCATGGGCGGAAAAAAGGGGGCTCGACGGAGCCCCAGCCCACCTCAAATTTGAAAAAAGATTGTACTTTAATTTATAAGTATAAAACTTTGGGTATTTCTATTCACAGCCTCATTTTTACTAAACACATCCACCAAATTAAATAAGAATAATTAAAAATAATCAAATCTCTGAATTACCCTTTCAACACATAACTATCATTTCATCACCTCATCTGTGTTACACATAAGAAGACTAGGGAAGCCTACTCTCTGGTGACGAGAAAAGCAAATCCAGAAGAAATCAATAGCAACGACGACGACTCCGAATCTCCACCATAGCCCGCTGCAGCCCACACTTCATCCAAAATCGATCTCAAGTTCAGCCTATGACCACTGACCGCCGGCGGCAACATCTTAAACTCCGACGGAATCAACTGTTGGATGACGCTGACCTCCGACAGCATCACCTTTCATCTTCTTCTCCGACCACCGACCTTCAACAGCGGCATTGTCATCTTCTCTGGCGAAGACGGCGTTCCAATTTTCAAACGACAACAAAGCGGATCCCTCCTCTGGCCGAAAATCAGTCTACGCCTCTTCAGGATTCTGGTTCCTTTGTGGCCTTCTTATTACAATAGCAGAATCAAAAATATAGTTGTTCATCTTTTTTGCACCGGCAATCGATCGGGAGCAATTGCCATGACCAATCGCAACAACTCTAGAAGGATTCTACACTGGTCATCGTCAAATTCAGAAGCTCAATCCGTTGCATCAACACCACAGGGAGAAGCTCGTCGTAGATTCTTTCTCTCCGGATCACAGCTTTATCCTCTCGATTGAATTTCATGGTCTAGTTTTTAAAGAATGAGTTCGTATTTAACACAGGATGTGACACCAAACCTCATCATGGAGATGGCGTTGTTTCTGCGTTCTTTTCCCATGGTAGTGGCGCACACGGTGGTGGCTTATAGGATCAGAGGCATAAATGGGTTTATGAAGAAAAGATACTATTACCGAAACGGGGTGTGTGTATTTAATAAAAGGGGGAGTGTATATAGAATTACCCTAAAACTTTTTATGGTAAAATCTTTGTTACCGACCCACCACAACTTACTTTGCTCCCGAGTACAGCCCTTGACACTATCCAACCAAATAAGTGATTTACAGAGTAGTGCTCAAATTGTAAATGTCATTCTTAATGGAAATATAATAAAACATATAAAAAGTGAACCACCTTTTGAACTCTGCAATTCCATATACTGAACCATTATTGAGTTCATTTTGTTCAACTCAAAAGCTCAACCCATCATTATTAGGAGCTTATCAAATTCAAACTGAACGCCCATAGCTTCTTGGCCAAACCAGGGTCCTTAGCGTGAGAGCTCTGTTTGGCTATGTTACTGTCTGAGAAGTACTCACCGCTTACTCCCTTGACTTGCGGGTGTAATGCCACATAGCACGTAGTCGCTGCTCCCTACGTAGCACAGAAGGAAGTCATTTTAAAAAGAGAAGAACCATACTTGCAGATCCGTAGATACACGCACATACGTACTATGTAAGTGCATATGTACATATACGTGTTATGTTATGTGTTCTAGTGGAAGTGCCAGTGCATAATTGGTTATACTTGCCTCATCAAGTCAGATGCTATCAGAAAACATACTTTGTCGAACAATAGAATGAAAAGGAAGTACCTGTGGAATATTTTTGAGCAAGTATTTGCCTATGGAATTGACAGCACCTATGAGACGATAAAATCAGACCCATAAAATCAGTACCTATGAAATGCCATATAATATGTCTACGCTCCCATATGAAAAAGGTATGCACTTGTGTTTAAGTACGTGGGAATGAGTCTATTGAATCGATACGAGAATGGCACTCGTGCCCAGAAGTCATTGAAACTAAAAGACCGTTATGCGTTCACTAAAAACCTCAAGAGCTGCGGAACCAGGCAGGTCTTATCCGAGGTTTCTTCGATAGTACATTCAGGTCCTATCAAACGATGAATACCTCTACAATCTAACCAAAAAGAACCTTTCTCCACTTATCCTAATTATAGTACATTAGCTGATTAGCATACATGATATGAAATTCAGTGTAAAGTATTACTGCCTCTGTCACATAGGAAGAGTCGAGCAGCAACTTTTTGAAAGACATCTTGTACCGAAATTCTGAAAAGTTACTCATCTAGTCTGTTTAAATTTGGTTTGGCATTGTATGTTTGTGTTTCATTAAATTTCATCTAGTCCAGTATAATCTATTTCTGTTTAGGAATATTCTGGTCAGTCAAATTGTAGCAGAAATAAGTCCAAGTCAACATGTCCTTACTTTTGGCATACAATTGTTACCAAGTCATAAATGAATCTTCTTGCAGTTAAATTTTTTTTGAGGTTTTGACAAATAATACTGAATGGATGTTTTTAATGGACCATAATTTTCGGGTCTGGTCTATTTAATTCTGGCTTGGTCCGGTCTAAACCAATTCAATTAAAAATATCCTAAAAGACATGGACAAAAACAGAACTAAGTTTAAAAATTCCAAAAATGTGACTACTATCACATTTTTACCCTTCTGGCTATTGCAACCCAACGGTCACCAGTAGGTCACACCCCCACACCACCACCACTGCCACTGATCACCGCCCGCGACCAACGGTGATAGTGATCACCTTCGCTCAGTGACAGTTACAACAACCACACCAGTAACCTCCACCGGACTGTGACTGCCGCCCTGTCCCTTCCGGTGCCAACTGACCAGCGTCGTTTCCCCGACCAGTTGTCAGCCACCCTGCTTCATCTCTAGCCCCCCTCCCCAGCCCCTGTACAACTGCCCCACCCCCTCGCCGCCCCTCCTATACCAGTCCCATCCCCTACCCCACCAGCCCAACCCAGCCCATAGTGCTGCCCTCTGCCACACCCGCCCCTAGCCGCAACCAGCCTGACAGTACCTAGCAATCCATTGCCGCCACACAAAACCGCCCAGATGTTAACCATTAGCGGTAGTCACACTGCCGCCACCTGCTTCCTCTAACCCTAGCCGGCATTGTTAAGTTCCCGGCTTGCCGCTTGAATTCGCCATGCCGCTTAACAACCCTAGGCACTGCTGTCGTATCTCACACTCTAGCCAAACTATAGCCGCCATAGGCCCATAACCGAGTCGTCATCCTCAGTCACCAAAACTAGTCCACACCTCAATCTCCATCGCACATTTGAGGATCGGGCAGAAGAAGTAGAAGAAGAGGAGGAGGGGGGACGAACCTGCGGCGAAGGCGATGGAAGCGGCGGACGAGATGACGACAAGCTCGTCATCAAGGGAAGTGTATCACATTGTCTAACTAAATATAGATTAAGAAACAACGTTGGGCAATTCTAACATATTGAGAACCGTTTCACTCTGATGCTCTATCACATTAGTATTATAAATTAATGTGAATGTGGAGATGCATTGCGAGTCGTAGCAAAACTTCACTGAGATGCTCTAACACATTATCAGTGTCATCTTTCATTACAATATTTGATAATTAATTCTCAACATGAATTCATGGAACATGACCATCACGGATCACTAAGATACATCATTCAGAAATTGAAAGCTTTACCATGGATGAAACTGAGATGACGAAAAAGGTTTGTGGTGATTGCTCCTGGATGAAGCGAATTAGCAGTAATGTCCACCCTTTCTTCCTGTATGAAAAGATATATGTGACTATATTGTAATCACCTCTGTCCTGAAAAAAGTCCAGGCTTTACTAAAATACTAAGACTTTCTGTTTTTGGACAGATGGAAAATGTTTATACACACATAATATTATGTGCTCATTAATGAGAAGAGTAATGTTCTCCAGGCAACACAACATTCAAAGATACATGTCACTCTCTTTGATTCATTTTGTGTCTTACCCATACAAGGAGGCCAGACCAAACTTATTTATAACTTCATTTATGCTAACACTAGTTTCTCACCCGTGCGATGCAAGGAGCGTGAGTTTTTATAAAATGAAAAGGAGTGAAAATGCTAACACTACTCCATTTGTCCCATAATAAATTCATATTTTAACTTGGCACAAAAATTAAAAAAAGTGAAAATTGTGACCTAAGTTGTTCAAAGGAAATAAACATGTTGTGAATCAAATATTCTTTGCCATAAATGAAAGAAATACTATACATTGGGATAGACAAAAAGAAAAGATTGAAGTTTTAGTTTGGAAAGTGTAAACTGAGTAATAGGGATTAAAGATGCAATGAAATCACACTACATTATCAATAGGTATGGCCAGTATAAATACATACAAGCTAGAGAATACAAAAAAGGAAACTAAATCTGCCAGATTTACCTAGAATATTTAGCCTATCGTAGAAAATATATTAGCTACCTTATATATACATAGAATATATTGACTATTAAATATGTATATTCTAACACTCCCCCTCAAGCTGGAGCATAGATATTAATCATGCCAGCTTGGTACAAATGGAATTGATACGTGTCCCCGGTAGAGCCTTTGTGAACACATCTGCTAGTTGGTTTCCTGTTTTGATTTGTGAAGTGCAAAGTGTACCATCTTCTACCTTTTCTCGAGTAAAGTGACAATCAACTTCAATATGCTTTGTTCTTTCATGAAAAACAGGATTATTTGCTATATGGATAGCCGCTTGATTATCACACCATAATCTCATGGGTTCTGTTTGAGCAAATCCAAGTTCACCAAGAAAATGTCGAAGCCAAACCAGCTCACATGTAGTCTGTGCCATAGCTCTATATTCAGATTCTGCACTTGATCTAGAGACAACATTTTGCTTCTTACTTTTCCAAGATACAAGGTTTCCACCAACAAAGACACAGTAACCAGTAGTGGAATGTCGGTCATTAGGGTTTCCAGCATAGTCCGCATCAGTAAACCCTTCAATAACATGATGTCCGTGGTTTTGATATAGTATCCTACACCCTGGAGCCCCCTTCAAGTATTTTAGGATATGAGTAACTGCATCCCAGTGTGATGTTCGTGGAGTGGACAGAAACTGACTGACCACCACACTGACCGGGAAAGCAATATCAAGTCGGGTGATAGTCAAATAATTCAATTTCCCAACAATTCTTCGATATACCTCAGGATTTTCCAACAAGTCACCTTCATCAGCGGTTAATTTTACATTTGGGATCATCGGAGCATCACACGGTTTTGCCTCAACCAAACCTGCATCATTTAGCACATCTAGGCAGTATTTTCTTTGAGACAAATAAGTTCCCTTGTTACTACGTGAGACTTCTATCCCTAAGAAATACTTCAAGGGCCCAAGATCTTTGGTCTGAAAACAAGTAGCAAGGAAAGCTTTCAGTTTCAAAATACGACTCGCATCACTGCCAGTGATCACGATGTCATCAACATACACAACTAATAGAATGCATCCAGAATTTGAGGTAGAGAAGAAAACTGAGTGATCATAGGCACTCCTGCGTAGGCCAAATTTAAATATTGCAGCACCGAAACGGCCGAACCAAGCTCGTGGGGATTGTTACAGACCATACAACGATTTCCTTAATTTACATACCTTTCCAGACTCCCCCTGAGCAAGAAACCCCGGTGGTTGCTCCATGTATACTTCCTCGCTAAGATCACCATTCAAAAAGGCATTTTTAATATCAAGTTGATGGAGTGTCCAATTGTAAGTAGCAGCCAAAGAGATGAACAACCGAATGGATGTAAGCTTGGCAATAGGAGAGAAAGTGTCAAAGTAATCTATACCATATGCCTAAGCATAACCCTTAGCTACTAACCGTGCCTTTAAACGAGCAACAGAACCATCAGGATTCATTTTGACAATGAACACCCATTTACACCCAATAGCTTTCTTATCGGGTGGAAGATATACAAGGTCCCATGTGTGGTTCTGATCGAGAGCCATCATCTCCTCTCGCGTTGCCTCTTGCCAACCAGGATGAGCCAAGGCCTCAGAAACAGTTGAAGGAACAACAAATAGAATCTAAAGAAGCAATAAAGCTCTTGGAAGAAGGTGACAAAGTATTATAAGTAACAAAGGAAGAAACAGGATAAGTACAAGTGCGAGTACCTTTTCGGAGGGCGATTGGGAGATCAAGGTCGGAGGGAGCATAATCTGGAGGCGAGGCAGAAGATGGCGGTGGTACACTGGTAGCCATAGTAGGTGCCGTAGTCACAGGGCGCACACGACGAGAGTAAACTTTAAGGGGAGGAGGTGGAGGAGGAAGGAAAGTTGATGGGGAAACCTCTCTGGGAGGGGGGGCAATTTCTAGCTGGCTGGTGGTATAGACTAGAAACTCATCATTAGAGAGTTCCAAGGAAGGGGATGAAGATGAACTATGCTCAAAGATGGGTGTTTCTTCAAAAAATGTGACATCTGCGAAGATAATATAACGTCCCAATGAAGGAGAATAACATCGATATCCTTCTTGTAATCGAGAATAACACAGAAAAACACACTTGATTGATTTAGGATCAAGTTTTGAGACTTGGGAACGCATATCCTGGACAAAGCATGTGCAACCAAACACACGAGGCACAAGAGAGAACAAGGACTGGGAGTGAAATAAAACGGAGTACGGAATCTGACCATTAAGAACAGAAGAAGGCATACGATTGATAAGGTAACACGCAGTGGAAACAGCGTCTACCCAAAATGGTTTAGGAACCCCCATGTGAAATATTAAGGCTCGAGCTACTTCTAGTAGGTGACGATTCTTTCGTTCAGCTAAACCATTTTGTTGAGGTGTATAGGGACAAGAAGTGTGGTTTAAAATCCCATGGCGAGATAAGTAAGTCTGAAAAGTGCTAGATAAATAGTCTTTAGCATTATCACTTCTCAGAATGCGTATATTCTTATTAAATTGAGTTTGAATTTCAGCATGAAAGGTACAAAATGCAGTAAACACATCTGAACGAGATTTCAAAAGATAAAGCTAAGTAACCCGTGAAAAATCATCCACAAATGTAACAAAATAACGATGACCAAGTTTGGAAACGACAGGACTAGGACCCCACACATCAGTGTGAACTAAATCAAAACTAGACTCAACACTTTTATTTATTCGAGGAGGGAAAGTTGTTCTATGATGCTTAGCAAACTGACATGCTTCACACTCCAAAACAGACTCCCGTGACAGACTAGGACACATTGTTTGTAGTACAGAAAGAGATGGATGACCAAATTGACAGTGAACTTTCAACAGAGACGAACTTGTGCATGCAACTGATCTCGGCACCGAGGATTCAAAAACATATAAGCCATTAACCAGTATTCCTTTACCAATTACCAATAATCTGCTTCGTCCCAAGATCTTGAAAAAGACAATGAGTGGGAAAGAAAATAACACAGCAGTTTAGGGCTTTAGTAATCTGACTGACTGAAATTAAATTAAACGGAAATTGAGATAAATATAAAACAGAAGATAGAGAAAGGTTTGGAGAAAGAGTTGTTGTTCCAAGGCCATTGACAGATGCGGTTGATCCATTTGCTAAAGTAACATGAGACTGGTTAGCAGAAGAGGTAAATGAATCCAAAATATTTTCATTACCAGTCATATGGTCCGTTGCACCAGAATCGATCACCCAATTGCGTGATGATGTAGAGAGGCATGCAGCAGGATTACCTGTATCAACTTGTGTGGTGGCAGATGAGGCTGTGAGAGAAAGTTGTTGTAGCCGAGCATACTCATCGACTGAAATAGTAACGGTGGAAGGAGTTGGTAGGATACCATCCTGGATAACCGTATTAGCAACATGCCTGGGAGGAAACTGTCCAGATGTCTGTGGTGGACGACCATGTAATTTCCAGCAATTCTTCTTCACATGACCCTCAGCTCCACAGTGATAACATGTGCGAGAAGAATTACGAGTCCCTTCAGTAGTGACTGAATTGGTCCTTTTACCATGGCTCACATCACTGACTAAGGCAACAGTATCAATCGAGTTCATCATTCTGGATTCTCCATCTTTGCACACTAGAAGGAGATGTCCATAGAGGTCAGAAAAACTGGGAAGGGTCCCACCAGAGAGTATTTGACTCCTCGATACCTCATATTGTGGACCAAGCCCAGCCAAAACACCATGAACATATGTCCGCTCCTCTTGTTCTTGCATACTCTTAACATCAGCAGTAATAGGGAATCGGGACCGCTTTTCCTCAAAGATTTGTTTACATTCATTGTAGTATTGAAACAGCGCCTGGTCCTTCATCTCCGGTCTATAGTAGTGCATAATTAATTGATGAACATAAGAGAGATCTTGTTTACTGGCATACATAGACTCCAAGTATTCCCACATTTCTTTGACAGTATCACAATGAGTAATGATACTATCTAGAGGGATCCAGGGTATTCTGAATTTGATTGAACAACCTATCATCAGCCATCATCCATTTCTTTCTTTCATCAGGATTACTTTTTGGAGGAGCCATTTCAGTTAGATGATCTCCCAGATCAAGACTATTACCATATCTTGTAATAGTCCGTTTCCACTGCCCGTAATCTTTACTACCAGTCAGTTTTCTCTCGGTAATTCGAGCATTACCGATCGTAATCTCAGTCACGCTCTTCTTATCATCACCCATGCTTGCAAACAACTAGGGCAAGAGTGATAACAAGAACAGGGTAAGAGAACTGGTGCAGATAGTGTCCAGAAAATCAAACCTGCGACAACTGTGTTGCACTATCCGGATTACCACGCCTGCGAACAACGTCCTGCGTCGCACAAAAGAAGGCTGAACCTTACCAGAGGGAGGGAGCAGATCGAACTTCGGGAAGTACTACCCGAAGAACCTGTGTGTCTCTGATACTATGTAAACTGAGTAATAGGGATTAAAGATGCAATGAAATCACACTACCTTAGTTTTAAAAGGCGTGAGGCGGCACGAGGCGTTTTCATTGATTTACCCGAGGCGCGAGGCGCTAGGCGACGAGGCGCACGCCTCACGGATCTTAACATCATATCTTTGGTAAGATATATATTATACTATTTCTAGTCTTCTACATGAAGCACTCATCTCAAAAAATGATAACATCACAAAAATACTTCAAACTATTAAACAATCTTAACATACATCATAAGACAAATCAAATATTTATTAAGACAGTAGCAAGAAATAAATATCAAACGGCATCATTGGCAAGAGTCAAGTCACAAAACTCAATCTTAAAATTTCAAAACATAATTAATAAGATGTTATATAAAAATTCCCGAAATAGGACTAAAACAGTTTCAAAATTCCAAAATAGGACTGTCATGTTTTTTATTCCCAAAATAGGACTAGTTGCTGCCAAAACATGGCAGTAATTAGTCCTATTTTGGGAATAAAAACATGTCAGTCCTATTTTGGAATTTTCAAACTGTTTTAGTCCTATTTCGGGTAATATCTGTATAAAAAATTGTTAATAATAAAATATGTCTTATATATTTGTATTTAGGTACCCTACTCGGCATGATCTAGAACAGACCAACGGAGGTAGTAACACTGCAATTTCAAGGTAATAAAATATAAAATAATACATACTTAATTAATAAACTATCACACAAATAAGAGAACAAACTGTAATTAATAATACATACAATTGCGAGTCCTGCTACGCGAGCAAGAAACAGGACCGCAGATGTGGGAACTCGGAAGCAAACCAAGCGCAGAAGGAAGAAGGGAGAAGACTAGAGACTCAATCGCCAAAAGAGACATCCATGATGCGTGAGAAGCGCGCGCCTCTCAGAGGCGCAAAAGGCGTCAAAAAGCGCCATATAAGGCGCGCCTCTTGGAACCTATGCCGCCTGGGGTGGAAGATGCGATAAAGTAATTGCCTTAGGGCGCCTCGCACCTTTGCGCGCCTCAGGCGCGCTTTTTTAAACCAAGCACACTACATTATCAATAGGTATGGCCAGTATAAATACATACAAGCTAGAGAATACAAAAAAGGAAACTAAATCTGTATATATTTAGCCTATCGCAGAGAATATATTAGCTACCTTGTATATACATAGAATATATTGACTATTAAATATGTATATTCTAACAGAAAGGAGGGAGACATGATATCATCATAAGAAGTAAAATGTGATAGTAATCTACCCCTATTTTGCACATGAGGAATATATCCTAAATTTTTTAATTGTGTATTAATGAAAAAAAACAAAACATATATAGAAACAATTTAATTCAATGGTAGAGATGAAACATGATAATGATAGTGAAAAGTTAATGTTACATAATAATAAAAGAGCAATATGGATAAATATGTAAATGAAGTGAAAGATGACAAAAATTATATAACCTACTATTTTTTATTTATTGCTATAATTCATTGATATATATATAGCCTATGCCAATCAATTTTGTTACTTATTGCTACAAATGTATGACATATGAGTTAATATAACCATTTTTTTATGAGTTAATATAACCTAACAATACCTAAATTACTATAAATATTTAAAGTTGAAACAGTTGAAAGAGATCTCAAGTAATATCAAATAGGTACATCTATCTCACCAATGATTGTTTTTGAATTCTCAAATAAGATATATGAAGTAGAACATTTGGCCAAAGGTGTGCATTTATCTTTGACATGCTATGCTCTATTTTCAAACTGAGGTGTTAGAAGAGTTGAAGTAGAGCCTTATGTAAATCTAAATTTTATTATGAGTACATTTTTTATCCGTTATTAGAGCAAATTAAGTTGAGTTTATATGCATAGATGTTTGAAATAATTGAAAGAGATCTCAAGCAATATCAAATAAGTGCATCTATCTCGCGAATGATAGATTTTGAATTCTGAAATCAGATATGTAATTTTTGGTCAAAGGTGCACATTTTATCTTTAATAATGTAAAATATTTAAACTTTGGTTAATTTTACTTCAGCGTATGAATTGATATCTAGCAATTTGATCTCAATATTTTTAAAACCTTAACATTGTACAAATTTCCTTAAAAAAAAGCATTGAACAAATCTATTCCTAATATTATACAAAGTGCTAAATTTTTAGTTAGGCAAGTACAACTTTCATATAAAACGTATTTTATATAAAAACACACGTACATAACGGCAACACACATCGGAAAAGTAGTTACATTTCTAAGCTCCAATTTACACATATTAACAAAAAATTAGTTTTAAATTGTGAGTGCGTCTATAATTTTAAATTGTGAGTGCGTCTATAATTTCAGCTCTAATCTTCTTTTAACAATTTTCTTACAACAACAACAACAACATCCAAGCCTTAATCCCAAAAGAATTTGGGGTCGGCTAACATGAATCGATCTATGATATCAAAAATGCCAAAAAGAGAAGATGGACAAGAAAGGGAAGAAAAAAAAAGATAAAATGAATAAAATAAAGATAAAAAAATATAAGATAACAATAACACAAGAATATAAAAAAGATAACGATAAAAACTAAAAGAGCATAAAAAAGCTAGAAGAAAAAAATAATATAAAAAAATAAAAAGATAAGGAAGATAAGCGATAAAAGAAAAAAGAGAAGAAAGGTAGAGAAGACATCAATCGTCCACACGGATGTGCGCCCTCCACTTTGCTCTCTCCAAACAATTTTCTTAAAATAACAAAAATTTATTCTTTTAAATTTTTGGATTTTATTACAGATTTGTCTCAAATTGAAATACTCCCCCGTTCCTTAAAACTTCGTCAAATTTTTCTTTTTATTGTTCCACTAACTTTGTCACTTTCCCTTTAAGTAAGAATTTGTGGTTCCGGTTAATCCTAGTGCCGGTCAAACTTAGCTAAGTTTTAAGGGACGGAGGGAGTATGATTTTTATATTAGGTCTTATTTATCCAACAGAGTTTTTTAATTGAAGCCTTACTTTTATTATTATATACTGCATATTACTTTTATGTTATTTTTTGTGAATTAAAAAGTCAAACATTTCGATGTAAAAATAAAGAAATTTGGATTTTAATATGCTATATTGGTGTCATATGAAAAATTCTAAAAAAATATAAAATTTGATATATTTTTTTACAAAAATCGGATAATAAACAAAGAAGTTATAATAATTTGAAGAAAAATGAAAATTTCATTTTGGATGGCTCCACACGTCACTTTCTTCCTCCGGCCAGCAGGTTTTGTTTTTTTCCCGGGTCCCAACTTCCTCACACGTCACTTCCATCTTCCACACAGCAGGTTTTGATTTGTTCTCAGTTCCCAACTTCCCGTCTCTCTGTAACAAATTAACGATGACCCTGGCCCATGTAGTGGTGGAATACGGGTTTGACCCATTTTTACCATATTTTAGGCGGGAATACTGTTCACATTTGCCACTTTGGTTTGTATATAGTAAGATAAGATTTTATTTAATATTAGTAAATAAAATTTGTATGTCTGGAAATTACATGAAAAGTACTATCAAACACAGAAAATCAAACTGAAACATCATAAAAAAATGTTAAAAAGACAAAAATGTGGTAATATTACCTTAAGGTGCCTGTCAAGTTCATTAGCATGCAATACATTTGCAAGCTTTGATTGTCCATAAGCATACCAAGGACTGTAACTGAAGCAAATAGAAAACAAATACTCCGTATTAATTACATGGCATGTCACATGTAGATGGACTTTCCTACCACTCAACTTACACTTTGTTTAGAGGCGTCGCCAAATGCTCAAGTGATTTAATTTTAAAAACACTTAAAATAATACGGAGTACAATGTTGTTACGGAACATATTCGAAAAAACAGAAATGCTGCTTAGGTTCTATACCAACAATAGCATCGCCTACTGAGTTTTTTAGCAGTATTTAGTTTATCTTCACAAGTCACAATGTACATTTATCAAGTAAAATGTAAAATATTAAAATCAACATACAATTTAACGTAAATACTATAAGCAATACAAGCACATGTTATAAAAAAGTTTAGGAGACACTATTTCATTTTAAAAGCATATACTTTAATGTAAGTAGTTAAATTATTTGTTACTTGGCGGCATTAGTAAATTTCAAAAATATATATGCTACAATATTCTTATAATGTTAGTCTTACAAGTGTTATATATAAAGCAAAAAAAAATGTTCACAATAAGTCAATAACTAGCAAAGTTATGGAGTACTTAAGGAGTATCACATCATTTAATTAAACCTAACTTTTTATGCCCTAAATTAATCATTAATTTGTTCAAGAACATTATCTCCATCATGTTCCAAGTTGACAAACACAATGCTTATAGTTTTATGAATTATTAAAACCTTGATAGTGATTTATTAAATTGAAGTCCTTGAATTCTTTTTAATTTCATAATGATGAATCTTACCTTCAATATTCCACTTTAACTAAGACCCAACTACTTGCCGAGTAACCAGACTCACCAAGTTGCTAAAAATAGCGAGTATTTGCATAATAACATGGATTCTTGAATTAGACCAAGTAAGAAGACAACTCGGCAAGTTTTTAGGGCAGAGCAGTGAGTATTCACCAACTAAATAACTTAGCTTTAAGGCCCCACCTAGGCCATTAGGCATTAGAACTTTTAGAATATAATGGCTTGTAGTTTATGAATACTTACCTTTCCTTTTCATTAATTTTATCAAACCGAATTCCTTCCTTGTATGGATATCGATGTGCCTCTGAAGAAACAATGACTATCCTCCCTTCTTTCTGGCTCTCACGAGCTGTATGTTTCATCTTTTCCAATAAAAGATTTGTCAAAAGAAAGTGGCCTGTACAAACAAAAATAACATCAGTTAGAATGATTCATGCATTAACAGATATTCCTTATTTAATGATACAAAACATACAGTTGATGAAACATCAAGATATTTTACTTACTGTTAGACCCGTGACAAGGCCGGGTCATAGGCAATTAGGCATGTCAAGTTGGCCTTGACTTAACGGTGCATGGCCTAAGGTTGGCATCAAGGTAGTCCCTTGGTTTTGGAACGCTTGACATGGCTCAGCATGGGTTGGACATGGTCAAAGGAGGCTCAGTGGCATCAAGTGTTGGTTGGCCGGCTGACAAGTGGGACTTCGGCAAGCGGCGCGTAAGGCAACGAGGGTTGATCACGAAAACTAAGGAAAGGAAGATTTGGCTTGCGGGTGGCCTGGTCTGGGCACGCAGCGTGGGTGCAAACTCTAACGGGTGAGTCTCTTTGGTGCAGGCATGACTCATGTCTGAATGGGAAAGCTGGTTTGGGCTAACACTAATAGATGCCATGGCCGAATGCGTGACATTGACAGTTGACGGTTATAACTGCCAACCCTTTGTAAAGTCACGTCTCTTTAGAGTAGGCGGCTAGGCAGTTGGCTTATGACTGCCAGACTTGGTCAAGTTTATAAATAGACCATGCCATGCCACGAATTTTGTAGACAAGAGAGATGGTGTGTGGCATTGGGCTTTGTATATTCCTTTGTATTCTTGAGTTAGTAATACAAGGTTGGTCTTGGACCGTAAAGTGTGTGTTCCTTAAATATTTTCCTAAGTGTTCTAAACATCCCTTAACACTAACTAAACTTGTTTGTGAGTAAAGCTGACTACCTTAAGTGTTAAGATAGGTCGTGCAAGTGAAATTTCAAAGTAACGAAATTTAATGTGTAACAAGTGGTATCCGAACATGGCTAACGATAGCACATCATCTATTGGTGACCAAGATGGTCAGGATATAGCGAAGATCTTCATTCAAGCACTCATTGAGGAAGGACTCAAACCCGTGTTGGATCGACTTGAATGCCTTGAGGCCTCAAGGTGGCATTTGAGAATGCAAATGAGATGCTGAAAACCAAAGTGATGATCTTGAAGAAAGCAATGGTGTCAAGTTCTTGACATGGCATGGATGTTGGTTCTTCGAAGATCAAGATGTCGGAGCCTAAATATTTTGGTGGTGCTAGGAATGCCAAGGAGTTAGAGAACTTCTTGTGGGACATGGAAGAATACTTTAAGGCGACCAAGATTCCAGAAGAGGAGAAAGTGACAATTGATCCTATATATCTGGCGGAGGATGCCAAGCTATGGTGGCGTGGCAAAATGGCAGAGATGATGTTGCTTCAAGAAGGCTTGGTATTGAGTCATGGAATGGACTCAAGAAGGAATTGAAGGTTCAATTCCTTCCTCACAATGTTTCCTGGAGGCTTGGGAGGCATTGAAGAAATTGGAGCATGGCGGGTCTATAAGGGAGTATGTTAAAGAGTTTTCGTCTCTCATGCTCAATTCTCAAAATATGAGCAATGAGGACAAACACATCAACTTCATGTCGGGTTTGCAACCTGGGCACAGGCCGAGTTAAGAAAATTGGCTATGAAGGACTGGCCCATGGCCATGGTAAAGGCAGAAAGCCTTGTTAACTTCAAGGCAACGGCCCCTCAAGGGAAGAAGGGCGACCCATGCAAGAACGACAATAGCGGAAAATCCAAGGCCGGTGGGAAGGATAAATCGGAGAAAAGGGGATAAAGTCCACTTCTGAAGAGGAAAGAAGTACAAAATGCAGTCGGGTTGTTAGATTTGTGGTGGTGACCACTTTGAAGTTCGAACGCGATTGTCCCAAGGCCCCTAAGGTCAATGTTATGATTGAGGGAGAGACCCAAGACAATGTGACTGGACAAGCGCATTGTGGCCCGTTGCAACTATTGAATGAGAAACCTCAGCGGGTTGCAAATCGGGGTTTGATTTGCGTGGAGGTACTGATCAATTGTGTTGACATCTTGGCAATGTTAACACAAATGCAAGTTATAACTTTGTGGAGCTTATTGCCAAGTTACGACTACAATTGGAGGAAAACTCTTCTAAGATGAAGACAATGAATTCGGCCGCCAGAGATGTTACTGGACGGGCTGATGTTTCACTCAAAGTCAGTGACTCGGAAGGAAATTGTATCCTTATTGTCTTGCCTTTGGATGACTTTGATGTGATCTTAGGGAATGAGTTCCTCTTAGCCGCTAAGGCAGGGGTGTTCCCTTATTTGGGAGAGTGATGATAAACGGAGGAGGAGGATATCAACGCTTATATGAACAGGTGGAAAGTGGTGTCGTGAGACGATATTGGTTGGAAGATGGTGTCATTTCGGTAAGGGAGGGCGATTGTATGCCCCTGTTGACAAACTTCGTGTGGAGCTCTTGAAAGAGACTCATGTGTCATGACCCGCAGTGGACAAGTCATCCCGGTGTGACACAGATGTTTGCATTGTTGTCCTGAGACTACATATGGCCAAAGATGGAGCAGGACATTGAGGCATATGTTCGTACATGTCTTGCTTGTCAACAAGACAAGATGGAAAAGAAGAAGGATGCAGGTTTGTTGCAACCGTTGCCCATCCCGAGCAGACCTTCACAATCTGTTTCCATAAATTTCATTTCAAGTTTTCCTAAAGTGAGTGGCATGTCAAACATTTCGGTAATCGTTGATCGATTTTCCAAGTATGGCGTGTTTGTGGCGGCTCTTGACTCATGTCCGGCTGAAGTGACGGCTAAGTTGTTCTTTAAAAATGTGTTGAAGCCTTTTGGTTTAACAAAAGATATAATAAATGACCGAGACTAAAGAGCCTGGACAGTGACTTGAAGTTCTCAACGGCGAAGCATCCGCAAACGGACAAACAAACATAGAATGAATGCAGTATTTGAGCAATACTTAAGGCATTATGTCACGGCAAGTCAAACAATTGGCTTGAGTCGCTAGATATGGCACAGTTTTGTTATAATCTCCATCAAACGTGTGCGGCTCCATTTGAGTTGGCAATCACATTCCAACCCTTTGCGCCTCATCAAATGATGACAAAGGTGGGAGAGCAGTGTCCAGCGGCAGCACGAATTACAAGGGACAAGCAAGAGCTGATTGAGGAAGCCAGAGATAGTCTTGCGTTGGCCCAAGCAAGATGAAGAAGCAAGTTGACCAAAGGAGACGTGATGTTCAGTTTCAAGTTTGAGCACCAAATCTCTTCACCGTGGCTTAGTCCCGAAGTATGATAATCCCTTTGAAGTCATGCATAAAGTAGGTGAAGTAGCTTATCGGTTAAAGCTAACTCAAAGTTTAAAGATCCACCCTACTTTTCATGTTAACTTCTTGAAACAATTCAATGAAGAGGAGTTTGATGCTTCAAGGCAGCAAACAAAGAGCCCATCCAACGATTAGAAGTCAATTTGAGAAGGTTGTGGCCAAGATTTGGGATCATTCTATTAAGGGTCAAAGCATAGTCACATGGAACGCAGTGCGCTCCGGAATGCGAAACGAAAACGGGATTGCGGATCGCTAATATCTGAAATCTGATACACGGGAGATAGGCTTCTTCGTTACGCTGTCTCAGTATGCGGTACGTTTTACCATTTATCATGGTACGGTGTACCATTAACATATACAATTTATAAATTACAAATATAATATTAATAATAACATTTAAACTACAAATTTTAATATCATCAAGAACTAAATCTGAAAAGTTAAGTTTTGAGGTAATAGTACGTATAAAGTATTCAATATAAATAAGTAATAAAAATTGCAGCTCCTTAAAAAAATAAGCTCTTAAAAATAGAATACACTCCTTAGTCCAAAACAAAAGAAGGAAAGATATAGTCCAACCATCGAGTCAATTGACCCGCAAAATGAGAGAAACTGAGAAACAGAGAGAAATAGAGAATGGCTTTTAACTTTACCTAAAAAGAACGGCTTTTAAGTAACTTTACTAGACTTCGATCTAAAATACCGAAGAACTAAAACCACGAAGCAAGCAGTCTGCGTTGATGACAAGCGATCAGAGTCGGCGACCAGTTTCAGCAACCATCAACGGCGACGGCGACCAGCTACAGCGATGGCGACCAGCTACAGCGATGGCGACAGCGACTATCATACCACAGTCGCCACCCAGATGGGTGCGGCTCGCTACTGTACCGTGATAGTGGCATGTCTAGCGATTTCTGTAACTATGGGTCCAAGCAAGAACCGAAAAACTGAGTACCTAATCCGGAACGCAGATCGTGGCATGTCTAGCGATTTCTGTAACTATGACTCATGCCGGAATGGGAAAGCTGGTTTTGGGCTAAGGGATGCCATGGCCGAATGGGTGGCATTAGCAGTTGACGGTTACAACTGCCAACCATTTGTAAAGTCACATCCCTGTAAACTAGCCGGGCTAGGCAGTTGGCTTGTGACTGTCAGACTTGGTCAAGTCTATAAATAGACCATGTCATAACAAATTTTATATTCTTGAGTTAGTAATAGAAGGTTAGTCTTGGACCGTAAAGTGTGTGTGTCTTAAATGTTTTTCTAAGTGTTTGTGAGTAAAGCTGACTATCTGAAGTGTTAAGATAGGTCGAGCACGAGTGAAATTTCAAAGTAATGAAATTTATTGTGTAACACTTACCAACATGATTAGTTGCAAATTGCAATTCAACGTTGTCTCGAGAGAGCGTGAATGGCAGAGCCATAATCCCTGCGTTGTTACTTCAACAGCAAATGTGGTTATTAATTCTTTCTTTGCAAATTCAAGAATCAAGTTCGTAAAGTATAGATAAAAAATTATTGAAAAAGTGCATGTACATGTTGGATGGCGAATACGTATATACAATCCAATTTCAAAGCATGACTAGAAAAACTCAAGTTTGAATTACAACTGAAAAAGATGACATTTGGTTATAGAACGCTAGATAGATCTCATGGTTCATTTCAGTTGAAGAATGGAGTTTTATTGATAATTGCAAATACAGAAGCTAAATACAATTTATAGGCCTAGGCTAACTTAATACAAGATTATGATCAGAACAAATCCCATTATAATCAACCAAATATTCTAATATCTCTACACTCCCCCTCAAGATGGTGAATGGATGTCTATCATTCCAATCTTGCAAGTAAGTTCTCGAAACCGCTCTACTGAAAGCCCTTTGGTGAGCACATCAGCCAACTGAAGCCCCGAAGGAACATACTGCGTAGAAATAAGACCACTATCCAGTTTTTCCTTGATGAAGTGTCGGTCTATTTCTATGTGTTTTGTTCTATCATGCTGGACTGGATTATGAGCTATACTAATAGCAGATTTATTATCACATAAGAGTCTCATAAGAGCTTTAAATGGTATTTTCAAATCTCTTAATATGATCTTCATCCATAATAATTCACAAACCCCTTGAGCCAAGGCCCTGAATTCTGCTTCTGCACTCGATCGTGCCACGACATTCTGCTTCTTGCTCCTCTATGTCACTAAATTTCCACCCAAGAACATGCAATATCCAGTAGTAGACCTCCGGTCAACAATTGACCCTGAATAGTCTGCATCTGTATAAATCTCCATAGACAGATGTTCCTCCTTTTTGAATAGCAGTCCTCTCCCAGGACTTGCCTTCAAATACTGCAAGATTCTATTCACTGACTGCAAGTGTTTTTCGCGTGGATCATGCATGAACTGACTAACCACACTAACAGGATAAGCTATGTCAGGCCTTGTGTGAGATAGGTATATGAGTTTTTCCACGAGTCTCTGATATTGAGTCTTCTCTACTTTTGGGCTCTCCTCTTCACTCCCAATCATGTGATTTTGCTCTATGGGTACTCCAGTGATTTTGCAGCCTAACTTACCAGTTTCTTTGAGAAGATCAAGGACATATTTTCTTTGGGAAATGAAAATGCCTTGTTTTGAGTACGCCACTTCCATGCCTAGGAAATATTTGAGCTTTCCAAGGTCTTTCATTTCAAACTGAGCTGCCAACTCCTTTCTTAGTATTTGTTTTTCATATTCATCATTCCCTGAAATGATCATATCGTCTACATAGACTAACAAAAGAGTCAGTTTGCCATTTCTAGTGTGTTTTATAAAGAGGGTATGATCACCTTGACTTTGTTTATACCCCAGTGATACCATGGCCTGAGTAAACCTTCCAAACCATGCCCGGGGTGATTGCTTGAGCCCGTATAGGGCCTTCTTCAATTTGCAAACCATATTTCTCCCTGAAGTAGGGGCATACCCTGGCGGAATCTCCATATATACCTCTTCTTCTAAATCTCCATGCAAGAAAGCGTTTTTTACATCGAAGTGCTGTAACTCCCAATCAAAGTGGGCTGCTAAGGATAAAATAATCCTTACTGTATTCATTTTTGCTACAGGAGCAAATGTATCTTCATAATCAATCCCGTATGTCTGGGTGAAACCCTTTGCTACTAACCTTGCCTTATACCTGTCAAGTGTACCATCAGATCGGTACTTAATTGTGTATATCCACCTACACCCTACTGTTTTTTTGTTATTAGGTTTTTCAACCATCTCCCAAGTTTTATTCTTTTCTAGTGCATGCATCTCTTCATTCATGGCTTGAATCCAATTCTTATTTTTTAAAGCTTCTTGTACTGATGCGGGGACTCTAATAGAGTCAATAGCTGAAAGAGAACTCTGGTGTAGGGCAGAAAGATTCTTAGTACACACAAACTGAGATATAGGGTACTTGGTGCAAGATCGTTTTTTCTTTCTCAACGCAATGGGCTGGTCATCAGGGTTTGGCTCACAATATTTGTTAGGCTCGGAGTTAGGAGCATTTAAACACGAATTATTAGGCTCGAGGTTGTGAGTACGTACCTCAGGGTCAGATGATTGGTCTTGGTCTTGCTGATGGATTAGGACGGGTTTAGCTTTTCGTTGGTACTTTATACGGTACCTGTCATCATTATTGTGTATTGGTATTTGTTCAGAACCATTATCAGTAACATCACTGTCCTTAGGGGTAGGAATAGGAAGTGAATTCAAGGGTACATGTATTAAAGGAAGAATAGGAAACTCAGGGGACTCAACTTCCTGTCTACTCTCCCCCTGAACCTGAGAATTAGGATAAAAAGATTCGGTTTCCAGAAAAGTGACATCCATGTATATATAAACACGGCGACTAGAAGGATGATAACACTTATACCCTTTTTTAATTGGTGCATATCCTATAAAGATACATTTAAGAGCCATGGGATCTAACTTACTTCGATGAGGACCATGAACATGAACAAATGCAGAACAACCAAAAACACGACTCTGGAGACTTGACATAGTGGGCACTGATGGAAAGAAATTATTTATAAAATGTATAGGGCTAACACTTGATAAAACTCTAGATGGTAACCTATTGATTAAATAAGTAGCGGTCAACACAGCTTCTCCCCAATAAAACTTGGGAACATTCATTTGAAAGAGTAATGCTCTAGCAATTTCAAGAAGGTGACGGTTTTTCCATTCAGCAACCCCATTTTGTTGGGGGGTGTCAACACAAGTCAATTCATGAACAACACCATTTTGTTTCAGAAAATCAGAAAAGTTCTGATTTACATATTCTTTCCCATTGTCTGACCCGTAACCGTTTGATAGGTTTTCCAAATTGGGTGTGAACCATGTGGAAAAAATTAACAAATAGTTGAAACACTTCCGATTTATCTTTCATAAGAAAAACCCACGTAATCCTAGAACAGTCATCAATAAAAGTGACAAACCAGTTTGCACCAGAAATATTTGAAACGGACGAAGGTCCCCAAACATCAGAATGAACCAAATCAAAAGGTTGGGCACTTTTAATATTACTAGGAAAAAACGTGGAACGGTGATGTTTGGAAAATTGACATACATCACAGTGAAAAGACTCAACTGACAATTTTGTAAATAAATGGGGAAACATGGCCCGAACAACTCTAAAGGGAGGATGCCCAAGACGTTTGTGATGCAACCATATTTGAGAGGAATTCCAAGATTCTGAACTCGCTTGATGACAAATACTTTCCTTATACGGCAGAGAGTATAACCCGTCCCGTTCCTTAGCAATTCCGATCGTCTTCCCCGTGGCAAGATCCTGAAAAACACAATGGGAATGAAAGAAAGTTACTGCGCAGTTTAAATCTTTGGTGAGTTTGTGGATAGACAAAAGATTATTAGAGAGCCCGGGAACATGAAACACATGCTTAAGGTGAAGAGATGAATTCAGGTTGATGTTACCACATCCAGTAATGGGAGTTTGGGATCCATTAGCAACAGTGATATGGTGTTTGTTAGGTAAAGTGGAGAATGAAGATAAATGTGAGATGTGAGGTGTCATGTGATCTGTAGCACCAGAGTCAATAATCCAACTATGATCAATACTCAAAGCATCAAAAGATAAGAAGGTAGAATTCTTACCAGTCATTGTTAGAGAACAATTACCAGTGGGTGTACTCAAGGAGTCCATAAGTGCTCTTAGGCGCTCAAGTTCTGCTTTGCTAAGTCCGGGGATATCTTCTGTGGGTGAACTAGGTGGATTGCCTTCAATTTCCAGATTAGAAACAGTGTGATTTGCACGTCTCTGAACAATATTTTTGGACCCGCTTATACGTCCAAGGACTTTATCCCTTCCATGCAGTTTGAAACATGTGTCCTTTGTATGACCAGATTTTTTACAGTAATTGCACCATCGATCTTACCATCGATCTTCACTGTTGGACTTCAAAATGGGGCCTCTCAAAGTGGATCCTTGTATGGAACCCTTTCCGGTGGCTAAAGCTGAACCATCAACTGATTTCTCTTCCATCATCACCGACCTACTTTCTTCACCACGAACAGTGTGAAAGACTTCTGAAAGAGATGGCAGTTTCTTATTACCCAAAATTTGAACCCGAATGGGATCAAATTCAGAGTTGAGCCCAGAGAGAAACTTAAATATCCGTGTTCTTTCAATAAATTGGGTTAGTGCAGTGGAGTCTTCATCACACTTCATTGTCAAACTTTGATACTGATCTAATTCGATCTAGAGACCATTTAGAGTGCCATAATAGTCAATTACACAGAGAGTTCCCTGCTTAGTATTAAAGACTTTATTTTCCAATTCAAAACATGCTGAGAGATCTTGTTTCATGGAATATGTTTCTGCCAGATTCTTCCAAATCTCCCCGGCAGTTGCGAAAAACATATAATTCCTACTAACCTCCGGAGTCATAGAGTGCCAAAACCAGGTCATAATGAGAGAATCCTCATCAACCCATGTTTCATAGTGTGGATCTGTCTCAACAGGGGCTTTGCCTTCGATGTGACTAATCCTTGTGCGTCCTCTAAGAGTGGTACGAACAAGCTGGGCCCATTGAAGGTAGTTGCGCCCATCTAACCGGTATGACCCTTGTAATATCGGGAGGTCATTGTGGGTCAAAGGTGGAAGAGAAAGAGTTTTGTCTGCGAGATCAGGCATAGTAAAGTGGCAGTTTCAAAGAAAAAGAAATAAAACACCTCTGGACCAAAACCTAGAGGAGCAGCCTTCTGGCAGTAATTTTGTGATGAAAAAAAGGGTTTTTTGTGTTTGCGTGCAGAAGCAGAGCCCCTAGAATCGGGAAGCTCTGATACCAAGTTGAAGAATGGAGTTTTATTGATAATTGCAAATACAGAAGCTAAATACAATTTATAGGCATAGGCTAACTTAATAAAGGAAAAAGTAATTATGTACAAGATCTTCCAATTAATACAAATCTCCTACTAGATTCTAGGAAATCAGATTATGATAAGAACAAATCTCATTATAATCAAGCAAATATTCTAATATCTCTACAATTTCTACAATTGATTCAACATAATCATAGCCTTGCCAAAGAGTGTCCGAATTTCTTTCATGTCTTAGTCTTCTAAGAAGAACCATACATCAGTCATAAGGTGGTGTTTTTTTCACCTTACTATTATTGTTGTTCCCTTGTTGTTATTGTTATTGTTATTTTGCTAATTTCTCATTCCTGTTTTAGTTAGATCATACTAGATAGGTTTGGTTCGAAATTGTTCATAATAACCAACACAAGATTTCATAATACAAACAAGAAAATTGAACAAGATGAGAAAATGATGAATTCATCATATAGATCCATACCAGGACAGTGTTATAAGCGCGAGAACAAGATTTCGTCCTAGGTCGAGAGCAAAAGGTGAACTCAGGTAGACAAATAGATCATTTCAGATCTATGATGAGCAGCGCGAGAGAAATGGAAATTACAAGCTTTATCAAGACACCCAAGAATTAACTCTTCCAAAAGTGCGTTATTAATCAATACCAGGACTCAATCATAATACTAGGAACAAAATGGAAATAAATAATTGACTAAAACTGAATAGGAAATAACAGTAACCTTGCTGCCCAAGTTTAGCCACTTTTGGTTTCCTCCGATTCTGCTTGGCTCTCACCTGCACGAGTTGTGCTCCTTCGGCCCAAATGGCATCACTCTTAGGCACATCTCCAGAATGCATCCATATCATCACTCCACATGTTGACCATGAGCTGGTCCGCAAGCTCAAATGCAGGGTTAGCTGCTCGAAATGCCCCAATAGGTTCCCATGATCCTTCCTCTACTAACTGACCCTCCCGGTGGACCAATAGCTTCAACTGGCTGCAATGCAACCGGCTGTAGAGGATGGCATCAGGTTCCTAAATCAGAGGGTTATCCTCTAGTGGATGACTGGATGTCTGGATGTAACTGTCCCATAGAAGCTGGTGGAGGCTGTTTGGCTTGAGTAGGGGTACACGGAAGACATCATGGGTACAACTAGCTGGCGGAAACTGCACAGTTTCCCCTACACAAGCTATGATACGGAATGGCCCATAGTACTTCAGTAAAAGTTTGTGATGGCACTAAGTCAAGGAAACCTGGCGATATGAGTGCACCCGAAGCCATACCCAGTTGTTGGACTCAAAGGTCAAGTCCCGCTGAACTTTGTTGAGCCTACTCCAGTTGGGTAGGAGCTGCAGACAAGACCGCATCAAGATCAAGGAGCTCACACTAGACTATGTTGAAGCGTGTAGTGCATGGTCAATAGGAAAGAAGATATGGTGGATCTCAGATGTAGACCAATCGAAAGGGGGTGTCCCCTAAAGTAGTATGGTATAAGATGTACTTCCTCCATCTCGCTAAGATTGTCCTATCTTTCTTTTCTGATCCGTCTCACTAAGATTGTCTCATACCAAATTGGTAAAATTTGTGTGGTTCCTCAGCACTTACCTCATCGATAGGTGGTTCCCACCCCGAGCTTAAAAAACTCAAGGCGTGCAATGGATGCAGGATATTTTTTTAGGTTGTTGAATGATTTTAAGAGTTTAGATAATTTTTCTTCAACATTAACTTGTCGCTGATTAATGGACTCGATAATATTTTCAGAGGTTCCATTGCTGCTAAATTTCTGTTACAAGTGTGCGAACAAGATCCTATCCAAGAACGAAAGTTGACTAGGGTAGAGAGATAGGTCAATTTCCTGATCTATGATTACCACAGAGAGAGAAACAAAAATAACAAGCTATGTCAATTTAATCTGGTGTCCCGCCTAGTCAAAACACCCAAGATCTAACTCTTCAAAAATTCGGCCTAGTCAAGACATTCAAGAACTAATTCTTCCAAAAGTGCTTTATTAATCAAATACTAGGGTCCCTTATATAGCTATCATAAGATCCTTAATCCTACTAGGAACATAATGTTAATAAAAACCGATTAAAACTGAAATAAAAATAGCAATAGTAATATGATTAGGAAACTAATAATAATTAAAATAACAATAATCTTGCTGCCCAAGTTTAGCAACTTTCATTCTCCTCCCGTTCTGCTTAGGCCACACATGCACAGGTTATGCTCCTTCATTGCAACTGGTGTCGTGGATAGACACAAGCCCAAAATGCATCCAAATCATACAAACATAGAGAACAGGTTAGACTAGAAAGATTCAGACCAGATCTTTAACATTTTTTATCAAAAACAACAACATCAAAATCTTAGTTCCAGAAGAGTTTAGAATTGGCTAACGCCTCATTGCGCAATGAGGCTCTTGTCCCGGACGCAATAAGGCTCTTGTCCAGCAGCTTTCTGTCCGAACGCCGTCCGAACACCGCCGTTCGGGGCGGTTCCCGGTGGAATTTTTTGATGAAATTTTTTGAGCATGTTCCTCATCAAGTCTAGTTTATCCATACAAAATTTCAGCTAAAAATTCGATCGGGAAGGCAGTCAAATAATTCGTTGAAGTTAACTGCGTTTTTCTATGTATAATTTTGCGCAGTTAACTTCATCAAATTATTTGACTGCCTTCCCGATCGAATTTTGAGCTGAAATTTGGTATGGATAAACTAGACTTGATGAGGAACATGCTCAAAAAATTTCATCAAAAAATTCCACCGGGAAAGACCCCAAACGGCGGTGTTCGGACGGCGTTCGGACCGGAGGCTGCTGGACCTGAGAATTTCTCTCTCTCTCTCTCTCTCTCTCTCTCTCTCTCTCTCTCTATATATATATATATATATATATATAACAAAAAACATTATTCAAGAGTAACCAGCAAATGAAATATTAAAACAAAACATACTAATATGCAGAAACTTAACCACTGCTAAATTAGCATTAAATTAAACAGAAAATTATAGTCAGAAAATTAAATTAAACATAAAATTTAATATCAATATTAAATCAAAGTTGAAGTTATCATTAAATATAATAACTGGGAAAAAATATTGATAAGTTGAAACTTAACCGCAGGATAATAATAAAATATTAATAGTCAGAAAATTAACATTACTAATTAGTGTTTTATTGAATAGAAACAAAAAGGCATCAACAGAGAAGCATAAAAAATGCAGTACAGAGCTGAAGTTATCATTAAATATAATAACTGAAAAAAGTATTGGTCTGTTGAAAGTTGGAAACTTAACTGAAGGAAAATCATAAAGTATTAATAGGCAGAAAATTAACATTAATATTAAGTATTAAATTCAATAGAAACAAAAATTAAGCATCAAAAGAGAAGTAGTACCGCAGATTGCGACCAAACTGATCAAGTACAAGAGCCTCTGCTGATTGGGACCAAACTGGAAGAAGGCAGTGGAAGGAACTGCTGATTGCGACCAAACTGGAAGAAGGCGGTGGAAGGAACTGGCGAACTGCTAATTGCGTAGAATGGGAAGAAGCGGCCGTATTATACGTTTTAAATTAATAGAACTGCTAAGGCCATATATGAACACTTTTACTAAAAAGTGGGCCCGGTGGGCCAAACTTAATCTTGATCCACTATACAATTTATTTTACGCCTTAGGTACGCCTCATGGTGTACGTCAAATGGCGTACGCCTTTGCGCTAAATATCCACGCAATACAGTCCATCGCAATCTGCAATGCAATTTAACGCCTCAGCCGTTAAGGTGCAATTGCATTGCGCAATTGCGAACGCTGACTGCCAACACTCTAAACCATACAGTAATGTAGGCCTAATTGATGTTCAATAAAACTTACCATTCAATTTAATCGATATACCTCGATCACATAGAAATCTTGACGCACTTTTCCATTTTATCCACCCTATAATTTTATTGAATACATCTCCATCTAATATACCGTCTTTTAGAACTATGGAGCATAGGTAACGGAATATATGACTGATTGGTGACTCCTTATGGTCTAAGGTAATCTCATTGTTACCATTGCTTTTACATCTACTAAACTTGCATTCCTTATACTCAGTCTTGCTTTGACTCAACCTGAAATCCCTATTCTCTAGAATTTATTGTCATACTTCTAACTTCGCTTTGACACTTGATCTTTGGAAAAACCTATGTGACCTATGTCTGATATGTAACTTCATCAGTTCATCTTCACAATAAAGGTTATTATTGTAGTCTTGTAGAAGGGATTGTTTAAGATGTGACTTAATATAAGATCATTATTATCAATAAACAAATTCAAGAGCTCATGAAATTCTGATTGATTTTTTATGTATGCAGTGGACAAAGATCCAACCCGAAAGAAATTGCAGATCATTGTATTACATGAGGAGGTTCAAGGGTAGACCGGAGGAGTCATATTCTGAACAAAACTTCCTAACAGATTCCATGGAGCTAAGATCCAATTCCTTGACATCAACTTTGGCACTAGGAATCTGTTTAGATTGCCATACTTCTAACTTCGCTTTGACACTTGATCTTTGGAAAAACCTATGTGACCTATGTCTGATATGTAACTTCATCAGTTCATCTTCACAATAAAGGTTATTATTGTAGTCTTGTAGAAGGGATTGTTTAAGATGTGACTTAATATAAGATCATTATTATCAATAAACAAATTCAAGAGCTCGTGAAATTGTAATTGATTTTTTATGTATGCAGTGGACAAAGATCCAACCCGAAAGAAATTGCAGATCATTGTCTTACATGAGGAGGTTCAAGGGTAGACCAGAGGAGTCATATTCTGAACAAAACTTTCTAACAGATTCCATGGAGCTAAGATCCAATTCCTTGACATCAACTTTGGCATTAGGAATCTGTTTAGCTATACTTCGTTGTACTTCTTTACCGCTTTCCACATTGCGAACTGCAATAATTACATGTACACCACGCAAGGCAAGGACACGGGCAGTCTCTACACCAATACCACTTGAGGCTCCTGAAATATACAAAGATGGGAACTGATATTAGTTTGGAGCGGAGCTAGATAGAAATACCCTTTTACTAGAATTAGTTTTTTATTCAACAGTTCAGAGCATAATGAGTGCATGGTAGCCACTAGTGGAGTTTTCTTCTTATGAAGAAAAAATCAGCCATATCACCTGAATAACCCTTACAGGACAGGTGATGTGCATACGGCAGGGCAGTAACTTTGTACTGATTTGCATCAAGTGTAGTGAACAGCTGCGAGACACTAAGTGTACTAAAAACAATTTAGACCATCAATGACAAACGCTGAAACTAAATGAAAAACAAAATCTCTAAAAAGAAGTTATCAAAACTCAACGCTCCATGTAGTGGCATCAAAATATATTAATATGGAAAATTAATTATTCTAACAAAACAGAAAAACTGAACTCTTTTAAGCAGATGACTTCCTCTCCTAAAAGAGGAAGTCATTTACAAGCAACAAAAACATGAAATAGAAATAATTATTTCACTATTTGCCTATTTGGTGATACAGGAAAGATCCGGTTCTCCAAAAACAAAATAGAGTCTAATCTATGGGGTAAATACTTCATTACTCCAAGTGGAGATTTTAATTATTATTTTTTATTGATCAATTTAACGAAGAATTAAAATCAATTTATTAAAAAACAAACAAATCTCTTAGTTTCATTATTTCTAATTACTAAGAATTATTTATTAACCAATAAACTCATGAGGATTGGGTGAGAATAATATTAAGACTTAGGGTCCCAGATAAAAATCTTATGTGTAACTTAATTTAACTCTTATACCATTTTAAGAGTTGGGTTTCATCTAAAAGGTTAACTTGATGCTACTTTATTATTTTATATTAAGCATATGAAACAAGTAACTAACTCTGCCACTCTGGCTAAAACATTGAATCTAGTAAATCTTATGAACTGATCCTTTTGTTTTCAACATTGCAAAATATTGTCATGCGGACTCTAACAGTAAATATTTATCATAAATTATAAACATATTATCCAGAACAAACCAAGACTAACATCTGTTTACTTCCGAGACATCATGGCATATAAGTCCACCAAAACTAAATAGAGAAACATTAAGATATAAATATTTCCTTAACTTTGGTGTTACTTAAATAGAAAAGCATTAAGATAGAAAACATTTCCCTCACTAAATAGGGATGTTACTTATCTCGTGTATAAAGATATGAAACAAGAAATAAGGCATTAACTAATTTTAACTAAAGTCTAAACCATAATATCAGAGTGAAATGGTGAATTAAGTTTAAACTAGCACTGAAGTCTAAACAAAATTAAGCTTGGTTTTAAAACTAGCGTTGTGCGAAAAGAACACGCTACAAGAAAAATAACTGAAATATCTCAACGGAAGACAATAGGGACCTGTAACAATGGCAGTAAGGCCGGTTCCATCTATTCCTTGAGTAACTTCCTCAGCCGTTGATGAACCTGAGAAACCAGATAGCCCTCTCCTTCCAAATATCCACATTTTTTCGCTACCAGATTAAAAAAACTAATCAAAATCAAAACCTTATACTTGTATCTTACTTTCGGTGAAGTCTGCGTGGTATGACTTTAATTTCTTGTAGAAGACGATAAATAGGGGTGACATAGTTACGAAAAATGGGGTAAACCAATCAAATACTCCGTAATATATACTCGTTTGCTATTCGAATCGGTATGAGGCTATTAAGAATCTAGGATTCAAAAAATTCAAATACAAATACAAATATACATTTGATTTGAATTGTTATCAAATATAAATATAAATATCAGTGTATTTGATTTGAATATTAATCAAATATATTTGATAAATAGTAGTTCATATATACATTTAGGTAAATAAATTCCAAACCTATTTGTAATAGGGAAAATGGAAATTAATAATCCAAACTTTTAGCGGTCTTCTTACAATAGTTCCACCTTTTCATTATTCATGAATAATCCAACATTTGCACTTCATCTTCATTCATCGGTCTCTGACCAATTTATGACTTGCTATTCCAAGTTATTTTCTTATCTTTGCAAAACATTATGCGATCATAAGGTGAGAATTATGGTATACTGTTTACAAAGATAAGAAAATAACTTGGAATAACAGGTCATAAATCGGTCAGGGGCCAGTAAATTAAGATGGGGTGCAAAGGTTGGATTATTCATGAATATTGAAAATGTGAGACTATTGTAAGAAGACTACTAAAATGTTGGATTATTAGTTTCCATTTTCCCTTTGTTATAAATCAGAAGTGTCATACGAAGTAAGGGTTGTATAAAAAATTATGGTTTAAATTTGAAAATATATAATATAAATATAAATACAAATCTGCTTTTTGGTTCAAATATCTTTCAAATACGGATACAAATAATTATGTATTCAATTCAAAGAATAATCATATATATCCGTTTATACATATACAAAATTAAATTAACTACATAATATGCATGTGTGTGCATCAACTATCCACTATATGTGTGTAGTTTAATTATTCCGTATATCTAATGGTTTTTTATTAGCAACAATGCTAAATATTTAACGTAAAATTAGAGTAGTTTGACTTTGGTATATACAATTATCAGCTTATTTCACACATTACAAGTATAATTTCCAATATGTGTGTGTTAGTGTTTATTTCAAAATGTTTGAATAAATAGATGTATATTTAAAAATCATAAAATTGATTCACTTTATTATATTGTACATAATCTAAAAATGCATTGATCCATTAATTTTTAAGAAAATGTAATGTTACAAATCAATTTCTAAAAACACATATTGAGTCATAACATGCATTATAACATAAAAATATAGGAAAGGTTATTTTAAAGTGATATTTGACTAATATTTAACTTATGCTCAAATCGATTCGATATTCGTATATGGTTAGTTAACTATTCGTATTGTTAAACAAATACAAATACAAATCGAAATTAACATTCGTTTCATATTCGAATTCGAATTCGGATTCGAAACAATTAAACAAATACAAATAAAAAATCTCACTGTTCCACTCGATTTTTATTTTCTCAATTTGTTTTCTTTTTGTCTTGATGTAAGTTTCTTTTTATTATTTATAATACTTGGTAAATGGAAACCGGGAGTCCATGACCATGACTTGCTCCATTTGTTTTGGTGATTTACCTTTTGTATTTAAAAAAAGTTTTGTTGCCTTTATTATATTTTAATAGTGGTGACGACAATTACCGTAAGCTGCATGACAACAATTGATGAGTCTTTGAGCAATGCCAACTTGTTGAAAACATGTCATAGCACAATCATAGTTTCTTATATTATTTAATGCTCATTAATTAATAAATTCACAAAGTCATTTTATGTTTATTATTATTGTGAGTTTTCTTTCTTAATATTTAGTCCCTTGATATTTTGTTTAGTAACTAATTAAGTACGTGACTTAATTATGGAATGCTACACTTTCTAATAAGCATAATATTCTAATTGTCACTGGTCTAATATTATTAATTTGGGACGTTGATAATTAATAGATCAGTATGTGGATTAACCGATGGCTATATTCCATTAGTCATGGGTATGGAGATATCAAGTTAATAACATAGATGCTTGTTAGTGAACAAGTTCATTGGGCAGACCCAACTTCAGGACACTGCTAGGTTGTATGTCATCAGTGTTGTCCTCAATGATAATGAGGTGCTATATTCTTATACTTGAGATAGTCATGGTCAATGTTCTAAGGCGCTAGGCGCTAGTCAGGCGCCAGCCCAGTGCCTAGGCGGCTAGGTGGGCGCCTAGTCGGAGACATAGAAATTGTATTTTTATCTATATTTTTGCATAAATATGATAAGTAATATTGTATTTTTGTGTGTGTATATAAAAATATATATACATATACATTAACAAACATGAAAGACAGAATTATCACATTTAATCATATGTAGTATATGATAACTAATCAGTTAACTTTATTATGTTATATATATAAATAATGATAAAATTTGGGTATATGTACAAACATATATAGATTTATCTTAATTTATTTATAACTTCATTTCCTTATATCCATGGCCAAAGTTAAAGTACGTATAGCGCTTAGAATATCAAAATTATAAAGTAATGTTCGGCGAATCTAGATGACCTAGGCGCGCGGCTGATTAGGCGTATGGCTGATTAGGTGCTCTAGGCGGGCAACTAGGCGACATAGGCGGCCGACTAATTCACTAGACGGCTAACCAATTCGCCGGAGCGCCTAGACGAAAATCGGTGCGCCTGACCACCGCCTAGCCTAGATGGGGACTAATCGGACGTCTAGAACGATTTTTAGAAGAGAGGTCATGGTTACTTACATGAGAATTATAATGTATTGACACCATTAAATGTTATCTTTAAATGGGTAATTATAAAGGTGGTGATTGTACATATTATGAACCATGTAGTGATATGTGAATTATCAAGATAGTTTTTGTCACTCTCGCATAGCGAGAGAAAGATATCTATTGGGTCCCTTGAAGTGTAAGATTAATCAGCATAGTCATCCTAAAATGAAGTGTCATTTGTTCAAGATTAATCTTACTCGGTAATCAAGTAATATTAATTGAGAATAACAAGGATGACATGATCTAACCTTGTCTCAATTAAGATATCGTTTGACAAAAGAGAATTATTAGCACAAATTCATCATTAAAAGGTTATGTCAGATTTAATTGACATTTATATATCTTGGATAGTCATAATGTCTTGCTAAAGACCGGTTATGATTTGTGAGATTTGAATTAATTTTCTAGCCCACCGTCAACGATATATAAACCTACAGGGTCACACACCTAAGTGATATGGATCATTAATTTTTGTTAATAACATTAAAATAGCTCGACTAGCCCAATTCGAAATGGGTTTTCTAATGGTATTGGGTTATGGCCTGCAGGACAGTTTTATTAGCTAAAAACTCCTCTCCTCCTCTTATAAATAGGGATAAGGAGAGCCATAAATTTAAGAGTTAAATTCACATCTAATAAACCTAGAGAGAGAAGGAAAGAAGAGAACGCTAGCACGTTCCCTGTAGGCGATCCAGTCACGTGTGTGTGGATACCTTTAGAGCTCGAGATCTTTTTCCCGGACTGTCTGACATTGATAAACCCATATTTTAAACAATCAAACAATCATAAGCAGTGAAAAAGAAGCAGATAGAAAGATGTCGATATTATACACGAATCTGGTATACCGTATGAAACCCCGCTGCTCTCCCTCGAGAAGGAGAGCAGCGGAAACCCTTCTCTCTATCTCGCCTCTACGCACTCTAGGCCTCTTTTTTATTGTTAGGGTTCCCGTAAGTTAGCCTCCTTTTATATGAGAAGTTGGCTAACTTACGGGTTACAAGGAAGCCCCCGAGTTGATACACATGTGTGGCCCGTATTACACGTTTAATTGATAACTACACAAATACAAAGATAACTAACTAGATTGAACACCATAAAATATTCCCAACAATCTCCCCCTTGGTGATCAATCGTGTTAAATCAGCATTGCAGCGCAGATATCTTTGTCTTTGTTGTTATTCAGCTTCCTTTTCAGTTGAACTTGACTTCTTGAGAAGGCTTCATGAAGAAATCCTCGCAATCTCCCCTTTGATGTTTTCTTAGCAAATTGAACTTTGATGTTGGGGGTCGAGGAATCTTTTTCTTGAAAAACTTTGCCTTCCAGAAGTAGCTCTTGATAAGCTTGGATGAAGTCCGGTGGCGCCTCTAGAATGATAGTTCTGATGAGTTTCAGACGCCCATGGAATTCATCTTCAGAGTTTGATTATCTGACCTTTGTCTCCTCCACAATGTAGTCTTTTTGACTATTTGAAATGAATGCTTTTGAGGAGAACTTGTCGGTGGCAAAGCGGAACATAATGATGGTTGAATTGTGAGCGTAGCTGACCATTTGAGTTGCGGAGTTAGTAGAGAAGGCGTTGATTTTTGTGATGGAGGAGTGAAGTGTCCCAGAATGATTTGTTCCGTGTTAACAACATGTGGACCACTCTCCCCCTCATGACGATCCGATGAATCGGGACGTCATGCTTTTATTCTTTTATTCTGCGGAAATAAAATAGGAAAAACAAGCAGAATGTAAAGAAGATAACGTAGCCCCCCGGGGTCGTGAAGACGCCCGTTATCATCACTATAGAGATAAACTCTTTAGCAATGGCCTGAAAATGTTGGTGATTCTTATGTTGCAACGGCAGGACTTCCTTCCAATTATTGGTCTACATATGTAATAGATGAGCCATATGGAAGTTCTCGCGGGTCATGTAGACCTGCAACTGACTCTAAAAGTGCGTCTGTGTCCTAGAAAATTTCAAAACATTTGGGATTGAGTAACTAGACACGGCGTGATCAATGAAAATTCAGTGGCATGGGGCTGAGGCCACTGTAGTCAGTATTACTTGTCTCAGAAGGAGACAGTAATGAGAGATGCGGTTCCCCGTGAAGTATGATTAAACACCTATCTGTTGGGAGACAAGTGAGTGGTCTTGGGTAGGGTTCAACGTGCACTGTTGGACAAGATGCAGTGACTTCTACCCGGGATCTGATTAAATCAGTCCTGAGCCTATTTGGGAATTGTCCAGAGTATTTGAGTGGCTAGGAGTAAATGTTCAATGGATAATAGGCAGTTGAGGTAGCAGACTCATCATTGATTATTGTTTTTCTTCTCACTTGAGCCTTCTGCTTCCTAACTCTCATAATGATTACTCTCACTCACTAACTCAC